TATTCTCCACCCTTGCAAAAGGGACAGATGAAAAGATTTCAAGTTAGGCACACTAGAAGTCATAGAAGTAATGATTTTGATAAAAATCAAGACTTTCGTCCTCATATGTCGCGTATTTAAATGTTGCCGTACTTTAAATACGTGTTTCCTATTTCGCAAAAAAGAAATGAATTAATCACTAACCAAGGTAATGGAGCGCCGAAGGCAAGACCATAGCGAGTTTGTTTGCCTTTCGGGCAAACAAAGCTAGCATAAATATATACCCAGCAAACAATTTAAAACACATAACGTCAAATCAACGTTGAATCGACGTTGAATAAACGTTCGGAATGCCGATACAACGTTGGTCCAACGCAGCCTTGTCTGCTGGGTATATTTTTTTAGCATATCCTTGTTGCTCGTCGTCTAGCCCCTCGGTCGACATTGCCCCCCTTCTTCCTTGCCCATAAAAGCATTATTTTCTTCCTTAGAATAGTCAGGGCGCGGGGCAGACACTACGTCGTCGTCTGACGCATAACACTTCACTTTGAGAATCGCTACATTTCTCGAGATCAAGCGTTCTGCCAGCTTGTTCCAAGAAGGTTCAAGATGGCGTAACGCACGTTGCGTTACACCCTCTTGGAGCGTTTTCGTCGCCCCCCCCCCCCTTTTGTTGCTGCATNACACCCTCTTGGAGCGTTTTCGTCGCCCCCCCCCCCCTTTTGTTGCTGCATCAGCCTTGGCATATCTCTGATCTTTTCGGAGACGGGATGACATGCACGGTGGAATCAGCCCACGTTTCGTACGTGGAAATCTAAACTTTACGCATGGCATGGAGAAAACCTAATTAGGGATTTTCCTGACGCGGCACGTCCACAGCGCTCAAAGGTTAGCGAGCACACGCTTATAATGTCGAACCGATGGTGACTTGTTCTGCATGAACTGCTATCACAACTCTTATTACGCGAGCGAGCTCTAAGTTATCTTCTAACTTTTCTTTTGGACGCTAATATAGTTTGGAGGGGATCTTTTCACGTGTGGTCGAGAGGTTGCCGGTCATCTTTCCCGTAAAGAACAATATATTCCTGCCGGATAGATTCTCCGTAAAAAGGAAGGAAAGAAGAGCTACGGGGGGGGGGGGGGGGGG